ATTGGTATAATAACATTTTTCTATTAGAACAAATATAATGCAGAATATGATAATGACAATATCTGTTACAAAGGTTTATCTGTGGCATTCCAATCAATACAAATAAAATACTTCTATAACCTTACCAAATGTCCAGCTTCATTAAAAAAAAGGGTTAACACTGTGCATGAGTGGTGTAACAGTTACCTCATCAGACAATGAGCTTCCCCCCTGCCCCACCAGGGTAAGTAGTCAAACTGTCTACCAGTGGTTTGACAGCTTACCTGTGGCTGCCTTCTGTGGAGCTCCACTGAGCTAAGCCCTGTCGTGCAAGGCCGGATTATTACTGAGTGGGCTGTAGTGGTTATGGTGCATGGAGTGATCATTTAATGGCATGGATATCGTGGTCAAACAGCCTTTTCTATATACAAAATCATACACAGCGATATCCCATGAGCTAAAAAAAAATCAGACTTTCAGGGTTATTTATCAATTTGTTCTTTTCTAAAAACTGGTCCAAAGGCAATCACCATGGAAACTAGTGAACCCAGAACACATTCCATTGCTGACTTCACCAATTTTACATTTTTGTTGTACTACTTTCACAATAGAACACTCTGATAAATTTCCCCAATTTATTATAAAGACAGGAAGACTGATACAATGAATCACACAAAGTGTGTAATTACTTGCTGCATTAGAGGTTACATGATGAATACGTTAGACTGTCTTTTGAAGATATGTTCACTCAACTGAATTTAAAAAAAATAATCAACTGGACTTATAAGAGCCAGAAACCCAAAGTTGTTTGTCTGAGTCAATTCAATGTAAATTGGAGAGGCAGGAGGTAAGAGACCCGAAAAGCTCTCGAGTTGTGCATAAAACCTCACAAGTGACAACTCCAATTAACAATTAACCTATGTTTGCTGCATTTAAGAAATCACTATAAGATAATAAATGAATATACTGTCTTTACCCTCTCCCCAGGACATCAGCATCTTGTTACAAATAAAATAAAACTGAATTAATTTCACCAGTAAAACCAGAATCTTCTGGCCGTTCCTTTCAGGGGAGCCCTCCAAAGAAAACACAATGAAATTCATATAATGACATTCCAAAAACATAGACAGACGTCTTTTTAGAATGGTCCATTTTCTTTTCCCTATCAGTAGTGGTGAGGATGTGGTTTATTGGAGACCTTCTACCCAGTCTTTCTGGCTCTGTAATTTACAGTTTCCTTAAAAATTTAAGATACGGTTCCCATTGCAACACAAAATAGAGACGCTGACTTTTTACATGGAGTTCTAATGCATTTGGTATAAACTGGAGTGGGGACCTTTAGAAAGGTTTAACCCCTTAAGGGCCAATATTCTGGAATAAAAGGGAATCATGACATGTCACACATGTCATGTGTCCTTAAGGGGTTAAGTAAAAGAATTTAATTCTAGTTCAAACCTTCGAATTTCCACTTTGCCACATTCAGCAGCGTTTCGAGAAGAGAAAGTCCCCAAGTGTAAGGAAAATGTAAAAATACCTGGAGATACTTGTGTGGCAAAATTAATATATTGTATATCACTGTACAGCATTCTGGGAGTGTGGTGTAGAAATACCAGACTACTTATGGACATGCTGTGTTTGAAATATTACTTTTAAACTGTTTGTTGCATTTCAGCTTTTGAGTCACTCAGTGATCAAATACAAAATGTTGTCATTTATTTTCCCTCACAAACTAATAAGAAGGTGGCCGCTACTACTACTATAGGTAGAATGTGTAGCTAAATATAACTATATTAAAGGGGCACAGTAGGCACACAGACCACTTCAGCTCATGGAGGTGGTCTGGGTGCATTGTCCCATGTCCATTAACCCTACAGTAGTAATTATTGCACTTTCTGAGTTTCTACCAGACAGCCACTAGAGGGACTTCCGGAATCAAAATGGACCTTTGGACAGGTTTGTTTTCCTGGCACTATGGAATCTCTTTAAAGTATAAATTCACTAGCCACTGGCAAGTACAAATTTCTGCCCTAGGAAGTAGGGATGTGAACCGTAAATCGACACTCTGCCCAAATACAAAAAATACTGTTTAGTAGATATTCCTTCAATGAAAACATGCATGCATTTTATTGTGCATTTCTTTATTGGGAGTGTATATAAAAACAGCTTGCAAAATATGCAGATCTCTGGTATACTGCCTTTGCAATCCCTTAACTTCTAACCCCGCCTGTGGCTGTCCAATCACAGACTTCCCAATTCAGTTCAATGAGAAGTTTATGTAAAGCAGGATGCTGCCTCTTGCGTTTGACTTCACTGAGCTAACCAAACCAGGAAGCAAAAGGACCATTTTTTGATTGACAGCCAGGGGGTGTAACAAGCTCAATTTTTTAATTGAAATCTACAATTTTTGTAACATGAAAAATAAGAGGACACACACTTCACACATAAAGCACTTCAGCAAGCATTTTAGTAGCTCCACATTACAGCGGCTTCTGTCTCTAAATTTATTCACTTGCAAGACCTATAAGGGGACTATTCTCAAACTTTTATCTCCCTAAGAGGCTCCTACCTTCCTTGCACGACTCTGGTACTCTTGGTATTGGCGATGGAACCTACATACCTCCCTACTCCCCGAGTCTGGGACCAGACCAGACTAGTCCCCTTCGTTCCTTCATTCGAGGAGAAGAAGACGCTCAGTCAGGAACCCAACTGTCCCAGGAGGAGCACTGTTTGTTTATTTTCTTGTTCAAGTTATGTTTTATCAGCAACTATTCTTTTACGATCTGAAATGGGTTTATTTCCTTGCACTGTGGATCTGCTTTTATCTCCAGTTTTGGTGACATAGTCTCACTTGCCCCCCCCCCCCGCGTCACATCTGCCCCCTTGGTCTATTAATGGAAGACCCCTTGGTCTTACCTGTCGCTGTAGCCATTATTTTACCCACATAGCCTCCTATTTTCTTGTAATTATTCTTCTGTATCTAATAGTTTTACTACTCATGTTGCACTAAAATATAAAATTGGGGTATAAATCATGTCATACGTTATTGTTTTTTTGATAATTGTGTCTTACTCAATGTGCTATTACTGCAAGGTTTTTCTGTGTATTACCCTACATAATTTTTTTTAAAATGTTGAATTTAATGGTTTCAGATCTAAACATAAATTTTTATTTTATTAATTATGATGCTATAAAAAAAAAAGACTTGTCATTTAACTTGAAAGAACATTGCGGTGGTCTGCTTAAATTTCAGGATCATTGCCCCATGTTTTATTTTAAAAATCATTTAACTATCACTTCTTACCCCCCTTTGTGTTTCTTGCCCCTCTTTTCATTGTATTACACACTTTAGGGTATCTTATCCCTTATTTTTACCTATTGTTTGTTTTACACCCCCTTGTGTATCTCTTACAAGCCTCTTGTGTGTTTCTTACAACCTCTCCTTGTGTGTCTCTTATTCCCCTCCTTTGTGTATCACTTACTGTCTCCCAGCCCCTTTGTGTGTCTCTATCCCCCCAGTCCATTGGTGTGTCTCTTGTAACTCTTCCCCAGACCCTCTTTGTGTCTCTTCCCCCCCAGCCCCATGTCTTTTAGTTCCCTCAACCCCTCTGTGTGTCTCAGCCCCTATGTGTGTCTCTTTTACCCTCAGCCCTTCTGTGTATCTCTTTTTTCCGCCAGTTCCTTTTGTGTGTGTGTGTGTTCCACTCCCAACCTCCCTTTGTGGTGACCTCTTTCAGCTTATCACAGTGCCCATTTCAAGTATATTTTAATATGGGTAGAAAGACGTGTATAATTTCTGCCTTAGCCACCACCCAGTAGGAGACAAACTGTGGGCTGCCAGAAACCCTAATTCAGCATTAAATTGCTCAAAAATGATTTAACATTCAATGGAGGGACAGTGCAAGAGGAATCTAGGCATTATAACCAATGAAATTAAATGAAATGGTTATAGTGCCTACAGTGTCCCCAAAGTCGTATTCCCTGGCCCATCTGCACTGGCTCCTCTTCATGTCCACCGCACATTTCAGGAATGATTGACTTGAATTCTAGCCTGTCACTGGCATATCATTAACATTTTAACATTTTTTACTGTTACTCAAAATAAATGGCCATGATAAACTGTGATAAACTGAGAATTATAATCTTTAAAAATGTTCAATATTATGAACTTGTACCTTGCATTTAAAGCCTCAGTGTCCCCTAACAAAGTTTAAAGTAAGATCATTAAAACCCCTGTATAGAATACTATCAGACTTCTATTTTAGCTCACTGTCAATCATTGTTACAAGCTCTACCTTTTGTACCTGTCAATCAGAGCAGAGGAAGCATAGAGGAAAGAGCAGAAACATAAACAATGTTTCTTTTTTTCTCATCCTCCAATGCAATGTGTGCCTTGGCTGTGCCTGAACTGAACTGGATTGTTATGTGAATTATTAAATCTTTAATATACATTTAAAAGAAAAAAAGAGCATTGTAAAAAAAAAAATCTGAATCCATAGTATAGTAGGCCATAGCAATCAATGGGTCAAAATATATCCTTTTTCAGTTACAGTATTATTATTCTCTAATTGGTAAAAATGTATTATAATCCACTTAAAGTGAATGCGATTCCAAATTGATTTTTTGGCCACATTATTATTTTCTTTGTGGTCTAACTACACATGTTGGATCTTATTGGGTTAACTTAGAGCTGCCAAGCCAGATATATATATATATATACATTAATCAGCAAGCGATAGAACAAGGCTGTGAACACAAGAGTGTGACTCCTTCCCCCATTCCAAACACACACCAAGAGTCCTGAAGTCTGAAGGTAGATATTGTTTGATATTTCTACGCCTCCCTCATTAATCTCTGCCTCGTGTCTGAGACATGAGAAGGGAGCCGGGATTAACATAAAACTGTGTAAACAAGACTGAAATGAGAGAAAGCGAGAGCTGGAGTCGTAAAGGCGAGATGGGAGATTGAAAAAAGATATACTTGTAAAGACAGACAGATACATGAGAGTTAGAGAGAAGCGTGAGATGTTACTAGTAAAAGCTGAACAATGATTTTCAGGTGCCATTATAGGCCCTATTATTAGAATGGTAGATTGTTTGCAAGTGTTCTAGATCAGTGTTCTTCAGACCTTCAACAGACCTGGATTTCAAGATCTCTCCAAAGAGGGGCAACCCAGGGGCGAATGCTAGGGACATCCATGCCTCCAAACTGTCCCGATATTTGGGCCATGTCCTGCCGTTCTAAGTTTGTTTTACGGTTTCCTGCTTTTGGGGACATGAGGGAACTGTCCCCAATCAGCATAGTGCAAGCACATCATTAGATGTACTCATGCTAAGTTCAGGGCACTGGGACCATGCAGAGAGCACTGAAAGAGTGGTTCCTGGAGGGTGGCTGTCAGTTGGCTGGCTTGGAAGGCATCCTGGCGTGGTGGCCAATACTGCAATCACGTCACTGGCCCACTCACCTAATCACCCTCCTACCCGCATCATTGGACTGCAGGAGTTTGGACATATGTGGTAGACATGCTCGTCCACTGTCCAGTCCATTTGTTTGTGGTAGATCCATATGGCTCTTCGGGGTTATCATTTTCGGACGACCTGCCTGTCACCCAAAATTCAGATGACTCCCAGTTCGTTTGAAACTGACCCCTCAAGTTTACCACTTTTTATTGAAAACAGATAACATTATGACTGATCATACAATCTGACCTAGTGTAAGAGGTGTAATGAATTTAATTGAACCAAAAAATATTGTTACAATGTAATTCCCAAGGTTGTGAATTCAATAACTTTTCTGTCAGACATTTGGATAGGCCCTGCACCTCAGTTTTATTAGATTTCTTTTGTGCAATTAAAGTATTTATTAAAGGTTTTCAATACAACAATTGTGAACAATAAAGAAAAGAAACAAGAGTCATGTATATATGCCAAAACAACTGCAAATAAAGCTTATATCAACCCAGTTATTCATTTGTAATATTATTATTATTATTATTATTATTATTATTATTAGTTAAATAAAAGATGAACAGCTATTGGAAATTTACTTACAAAGGGTTATTAAACTTATATGTATTTTAGAAAAATGCAAATAAACTAATTACAAATGTTAAACTTAAGAAATGAGGCACAAAATAAGCACATTTTTTTTTTTTTTTGCATCAATTATCTGGTGTGACAGAAAAAAGCATACTAATAAGCATTAATAAATTGCTTTATTTGTAAATAAACAGCCATATTGTCCAGTCTGTAAAGATATAGTCCATTCTTCTGAACTGCATAGTCTTGCTCGAGTACACATTTGACTGTGTGCTATTTTATCTATGCAACACTTCACAAATTTGCCTGTAGTAATAAAACAATCCAAAATAAGAAAAACAGCAATATATTTTTGTTAATTTGTATACATTTGCTCTGGTAGAAACCCTGGTGCCAAAATATGTGTTACTATTAAGATGCAAACACTACCCCAACCTTTTAGCAAAGGATTCCAAGTACAGTACACAAGGAGTATGAAAGTTGATAATTGTCAAAGAAAGAAAAGTGTTAGCATAATCAGGTTTCTTTACTAAAATTTGAATTCAAAGGGAATTTCACATTTAAAGGGACACTATAGTCACCTGAACAACTTTAGCTTAATGAAGCAGTTTTGGTGTATAGATCATGCCCCTGCAGTCTCACTGCTCAATCCTCTGCCATTTAGGAGTTAAATCCCTTTGTTTATGGACCCTAGTCACACCTCCCTGCATGTGACTTGCACAGACTTCCTAAACACTTCCTGTAAAGACAAGAGAAAAGGAAAGGGCTGCGCCACAAGTAAAAAATCTAGTGATACAACAGTATCTAGCACACAAGCAAGGATAGGGCTAGTGCAAAGCAGTCTCACAGTGTAAGTTCTTATTATCCAAATATGAAAGTCAGTACTTTATAGGATGTATTGTGCTCAGTTCGACTTGAACACAGATAATATGGAAGACAAGAGACAGGGATAAGTGATAGTGAAGCCTGTTAAGTACAGTCTTTTATAAGTAAAAAACTAGCGATGGAACACTCACGTTTAAAAGAGCTATAGCCAGCTCTAGCAGTATAGGTGTACAGCAGTATAATTCCTGCTTTAAAGGATGGACGGCAATTGTCAACTATGTCCACACCAAGATTATGTAAAAGACAGGAGACAGTGGCACGTGATAGTGCAGATTGTTGGATACAATCAGATAAAAGTATAAAATAACGATAGAACACTTACATTTGAAAGAGCTATAGCCAGCTCTAGCAGTATGGGCGTACAGCGGTATAATCCCCACTTTAACCCCTTAAGGACACATGACATGTGTGACATGTCATTATTCCCTTTTATTCCAGAAGTTTGGTCCTTAAGGGGTTAAAGGATATGCAGCAACTGTCCACCACGTCCACACAATCAGGAAGGAATAAAAAAGGCAACCGATAGTGCTCTCAATAAAATGGAATAATCTCCAATAAAAGGAAGTAAAATTATACTTACAAGGATAGAGCAGGCTAACTGCTCTATGAACTCAGCGTTGGTGGTATTATCCCCACCTTGGGATTACTTGAAGTATAAAACTTTAAAATGCCAGGAAAAGTGCATATAACAAAGATGTTTGGCACAAAAAGGTAACCATAACATCTTTAATAAGTTAAAATACACAATATTAAAAGTCCATATCGTGTTTCACGTTTGCAGGCTTTTTCAGAAGGAATAAAAAACATTCAACCTGGCTATAGAGGTATATATAGGGATAACTGTGTTTAAAATTGGCGCCAAAATTATAATTTCCAATTAGAATTCAACATATTATAAACATATTAAAAGTACATAAGAGGTATTACATTACATTCTTTACATAGTATAAAGGTTAAATATCATAAATTATAATAAAAATGAGGGTTAAATAAAGTGGAAATCGCAGTGGAAAATTAGTCACGTGATGCAAAAGCATCATAGGTTGCAATGCTACATGGGATATGTAGTCAGTGCGAATGGTAACAGGAAGGGCGTGTATTTACTCACTTTATACCGGTGATCAGCAGGAAAAAGGATAGATTAGCCGCGAGTATTGTCGACCATATTGTGGAGGTCTAAAGTGTAATGTAACACTTAAGGGGAGGGTAAGGGTTAGCTGTGAGTATTAGTGGCCATATTGTGGAGGGCAAATGGCGGCGGCCATATTAGGAAGGTCATAAAGTGGCTGAAAATGGAGGCGGCCATGTTAAGGAAGTCAATAAGATTGATAGGAGGATAGAGTAGCCGCAAATGGCGGCGGCCATATATAGGAGGGCAGGGGGAGTTACATATATGGGATTGAATACTAGAGCCATTGCAGTCCAAGAGTATTGGGAGTTTGAGCACAAGATTGATGCATGTGACCATAGGGACCGTAGGGAGCGCAGGCCACATTCCATCTGTGTGCCACTATCCATCAAGTGCCAACTTCCAATAAGTGCCATGAATCCTAGAAGTTTACCAAGGGAAGTAACTCAGCATTCTTCCACACACCTGGACTAATGTAAACTAATCTGGCATCCCTCTACTCTCATCCACATGTAACCTCTGGCTCTGATCTCAATTAACCACTGCATCACTGACTGTCTCACCCCTGCACCCCACTTATTAGGTAATCGCTGGCTATGATCTCAAGTAAACCCTGCAACACTGACTCTCTCATCCCTGCACCCCACTTATTAGGTAATCTCTGGCTATGATCTCAAGTAAACCCTGCAACACTGACTGTCTCACCCCTGCACCCCACTTATTAGGTCGTCTCTGGCTCTGATCTCAAGTAACCCCTGCAACACTGACTGTCTCACCCCTGCACCCCACTTATTAGGTAATCTCTGGCTATGATCTCAAGTAAACCCTGCAACACTGACTGTCTCACCCCTGCACCCCACTTATTAGGTGGTCTCTGGCTCTGATCTCAAGTAACCCCTGCAACGCTGACTGTCTCACTCCTGCACCCCACTTATTAGGTCGTCTCTGGCTCTGATCTCAAGTAACCCCTGCAACACTGACTGTCTCACTCCTGCACCCCACTTTTTAGGTACCCTTACAATGCATTATTATTCATTATTATTATTTGAAGGAAAAGATTGTACAGCAAAAGCTGATGCCAATAATTGCTTATGGGGCTGTAGTATATGCACCTGCACCGCAAACCCATCTTAATAAACTTAATACATTGTATAACTTGTTCTGCCGTTTGTGCTACAATGTAATTACATGACCCACCATTGTGACATGCTAAAATAAGTAAACTGGCTGTCGTTGGAATCCAGACGCACCCTTCATTTTTCCAGCCTTGTGTTTAAGATCTTTTCTGGGAAGCTCCCACACTACCTGAGAGAATGTTTTCCCCGGCTGTTCCCACCTCCTATAACCTCCGATCCAGTACCAGCACTTTATTTAGTCTACCTCAATACAAAAAGAAAACGGCCCGATCCTCCTTCTCCTACAGAGCACCGCAATTATGGAACGACCTCCTGCACACTTTCAAATCTTCTCCAGGCCTAAAATCCTTTAAGAGATCCCTCTCTACATATCTCAAAACAGAATGCACCTGTCATGATTGATTATATATTTTCTACCTGTTCTATGTTAAATTTTGTATTTATTGTGTATTAATATTGTTTTTGTATTTTATTGTACCCTAATGTATCAATGCAATGTTTTGTGGACCCAGGACAGAAATGTCAATGTATCCTTCCTGGTAAAATATTTTATGCATAAATAATGTGTTGTTACAGAAAATTTACTTACATGAATTAAACATCGATGTAAATGTGTCAAGGCTTTTCTGGAGCAAATTAATGAACAAAAATATGACAGTTGCTCTTTAAGGAATTTATGTTACAGTCACAGTGTGTGCCAGTTAAACCTTACTGCGCTATATCTGTATGAACCATTGTAAATATTTATATAGAATGCTTCAATGACAACGAATTTATGTCACCTCTCTTAAGCCCTACGTAAAATGAACTTCTTTTAACAATGTTGGGGTATTTGTGCATTGAAAAGCATGCTATACATCAACACTCTGTCTATGCCTGTCCCTGGCTCATATCACATCTTTACAAAGTGTAACATGATGGTGCATAATGAACTGAAATGCGTTTCAAATTAGTGACATTAGAATCAGTACTTCTGTTTCTAATGCAATGCATGACATCACTCTGCCAGGGCTGAACTGGATTGTGATGGCAAAAAAATCAGGACGCCAT